CAACCAGTTGCTGATGACAATGAATACCACTGGAGACTCAATGATTACGACTTCAAACAACAGTATCGTTGTAATAGAGAAACAACCACTATCAGCAATAATGAGATCAGTAGTCCTAACAAGAACTACACTAGTATATACCAGCTACAGTGCAAACATCTCTGCTCCCCTTTTGTTATAATAATAATTTTAAATGTAATTTCTATGCTCAAAGAGTTTGTAGCTCAAAGCTTACAATGATCAATTGCTGATAATCAAGGAATGCCACTGGAGACTCAATGATCATTGTAATATAAAAACAATTAAAAATAATGAGATCAGAACTCCTAACAGGAATCGTACTAGTATATACCAGCTAGAGTGCACCCTCTCTCCTCCCCTTTTCTATAATAATGTTAAATGTATAGTTCTATGTTCACTTTTCTCTCCTCCTTTTTGTTGTAATGAAAGAGTTGGTAGCCTACAGCTTACAATGACCAATTGGTGATAATGACAAGGAATGCCACTGGAGACTCAATGATCACGACTTCAAACAGCAGTATCATTGTAATAGAGAAACAACTATAATATCAGTATAATAGGATCACGACTACTAACAGGAATCATGCTCATACCAGCTCCAGTTAAAAGAATTGGCAGCTAATGGCTTTTAAGGACCAACTGCAGATAATGACAATTGACAATGAATGCCACTGGAGATTTAATTATCTAGAAACTATTGAAGTACCACGTGGATTAAATGAACGCATCCACCGAGTCTTAAAAAGTGCCATACAGCTTTTAAATTAGAAAAATTATATGCAATTATTATGAAGACTTTCCATAAGTTGTTTCCCTTCACCGTTTCTGCTATTGTGCAGTTAAGAGCTTCTACTTGTTTCTCTTGCTTTCTTATTTGAGCAAACTCAAGTATAACATTACTGTGAAAGTACTATTATACTAGGCGAATGTAAAACATTGAGGGGCGAGCAAAACGATTAACATTTCTATTAGCAATATACAATGTTTATATAGACAATGATCGACAATGATGTAGTGGCTATTATAAATGTTGAGTGTCGATGTCAATACACTAATGCAGAATTTGCAAGCATGGAAGGAATTTCATAGTTTCTAGCTTTGAGTGAAGAATCTCTGCAGTTATATAGATCTAGGATGGAAGATGGTTGGTCTCAGAAGCCAGAAGGAGAGTCCATTTGTTGTCTTTGGGTGTGACAAGACCATCTCTAGCATTTCTCCGTATTGGACCTCCTCGCTCTTTTCTCCTCCTCACACTCATAACGAAGAAGTCGACGAGCTTCACGAGCATCTTCTTGTGAATTACTCATGCTTTAAGCTTCAGCTTCTCTTGTTTTTTGAATACTCTTGTCTCTTGAACTCCTCAGTCTCGTCCAGTGATTACTGAAGTTGCTCTTTGTTTTTGCACGTGGTACCGTAATTATCAAAATTATTATTTTAAAATGTGATTATTATTTTTTATAGACGCATAAATAGAGGTGACATACATGTACAAACAAACAAACAAACAGACATACTCGACTCGACTATGTGGGGCTTGCTTTTGCTCGCCCCAATTAATCAAGAAGTGAATTAATTTTTAAGTGATTATAACACTTAGGGGCAAGGGTCAGAAAGTTTTAATATCAAAAAATAAAACACTACTATGAGGAAGAATCTCAAGTTTCTCCAGGGTCTACTCTCCTCCAAATGAACTGCAACAAGTTATACATGTTTCAGCTGTGTCACCCATCAATCAATGCTGTGATTTCTTATGTAAATACAGTGTAAGGCTTAGTACACAATATCATGCGTTGCGACAGGAAGAGCACCTGAAGTGCCGTACAAACACTGTCGTACAAACACTGCGAGTTAACGCATGAGTTGACCAAAGTTCAACTCTTGCATTATTGACGCGCATGCCATTGGTTTGTACAGCACTTCCGGTCGCAAGGCTGATATTGTGTACTAGGCTTAAGCTTTCTAGCAGGAAAATAAGACAGACATCAGTACTGTGTAAAGGGACTGTCACCAAATATTCAACATTCCTAGTGGCTACTGCATAGAATACCAAGTGAGGAATACAATTCCTCATTCTGTAAAATTCCATCAGACCAGATCAAAGATAAAATATTAGAAAAATTGTGATCAGTGACTGCTCCAGAAACTTGATATATGAAAGAAATGTGCTCCAAGTATTGGAGTAAAATACTCCCGGCATAATAATTGAACTCTGGAACAATTAATTTCTGACATAGAGGTTGTGGAGTTTTAAAATAATGTTCAAAGAATCTGAGATTAAATCCCTGTACAAGCCTTATAAACAATCTTAGGATGAACTACACATAATGATGATGATGAAAGCTCTTTTATTACATGACGGTGTCAAACCATTCCTTCACAAAAGAGAAAAATGAGCTTATAAAACCTATATACCAAGTTACCAATGCCAATAAATTTAAAAAAGACTCAATTTAGACTTAACTATTAAGTCAACTGTTCATTCTCCACCACCAATTTGGTCCACTACATCATTAAAATATATTCTAAAGCAATTTAAATAATCAATTACAACAAAAAATCCTCAATTAAGACCTTTTTGGATCATTCCACTTACCATAAATATTCCCTCATTCTTCCTGCATGGCCCATGGTTCCAAATAGATAGTTTGAAGGCCAAAAATTTCAATGACTGTTAAGAAAGATATTCAACCATTCACTGAAGCCAGAAGCAATGAAGCTTTACAGCATTACTCATACAATAATGTGCTCAAAATGAAATGCAATACGTACAGTTTATCTGATACTAAACTTAAGGCCTTCATACACAAGGCAAGTTGTTGCTAGCAACCAAGCAACATGTTGCCATAAAACAGAACAGCTTTCTATTCTTGGCAACATATATTCCTTACAAGACCAAAGTAACCACAATTGTTGCTAGCAACAAGTTGGCTCGTATTAAGGCTTTTTAGGCATAAATGAATCTGTTACAACACCCCACTCAAATTTATAATCACCTCACCATCTGTGATTAGAAATATGATATATTTCTGGGATGTTATAACATATGCCTGTTATAGCAGAAGCCCAGCCATATAATAGGAGTAGGAAGCTCTCAAAAATCCCTATATATGATCTAGCTGCATATGTTACTTATTAATGAGCTGCCATTTTCACAATGTTTGTGTGGCATAATGGCTCTATTAATAGTAACCTCATTAAAGTATGCAGGCAGTTTGGGCCCTTACTCTCCTGTGAGCTCCTGATATCAATCAATGATAGCACAATATCAGTGCACATTGAGCTCACAGTAACTAAAGCCTAAGATATACTACAGGCAACATGTTGCTGGCCTTGGTCAGCCATCTTGGTCAGCTATGTGGCTGGATTGTCACAAATAATTTATTAGAAAATGACTGAAATAATCTCTTGTGGGACCACCAAAGTCAATCATTGTCCATGTCCTTACCTGGCTCAAGAAGAAAGGCTTTGACAAGCAGCTCTGCTCATACAGACTGGACTCTAGCTCTTCTGGACTATAGATACATATGGTTGGATATAATTTATATTTAATTGCATATCCAGGTTTCCAACAGGAATAGCCATTTGGTACTAATGTTACGAATGCTCCTAGTATGATGCTTAATAGCAACATGCCATGAGAGAGCACGTTATTTTGTTATGCAATAAATTTTGACCAATTCTGATCAAAAATTGATTTTTAAAATATACTTAGATTACTATAAGTTAACTGGTTCTTACAAAAGATGGTAGCTTGGAAAGTACTTGTTTTCGCCATTGCTCTGGAATTGAATCAAAGACCACAGTTATATTTAATTGCATATCCAGAGTTTCCAACAGGATTAGCCATTTGGTACTAATGTTACGAATGCTCCTAGTATGATGCTTAATAGCAACATGCCACGAGAGATCACGTTATTTTGTTATGCAAAGAATTTCGAGCAATTTTGATCAAAAGTTGATTTTTCAGAAATTTTAAAATATACTTAGATTACTATAAGATAACTGGTTCTTACAAAAGATGGTAGCTTGGAAAGTACTTGTTTTCTCCATTGCTCCAAAATTGAATCAAAGATCACAGTAAAGAATATTTCGTCAAAAATGATTCGAAATGGATTTTGGATTTTCACAAATTTCTTATACTATAAAAAGTTTAAGCGCTGGTTCCAATTGAAGAGCCAACATTGGTAGGTGCAAGGCCCTTACTAGAATTTTTCTTCCCGGAAGATGACATCATCATAATTAGCAGATAATTAATAGTTATTTAGTAGTTATAGTTCTTGTCATTAAAATTAGTTTATAGTGATGAATTAAGCATGTAACATTATTTTGTCAGCCACTTAAGAGACAGGGAGGGTGACCTACAGCTTCTTCTCGATGAGTTACTTTGAAAAACAAAGTTATTTCTTAATAATGAAATTACAGAGCTAAAATAATGTTTATTAAATGTTTGAAGACGCACTGCTGCTGCTGCTGTGCTGACTGTTTCGTTTTTTACTTTTCAAGAAACATATTTAATAGTGCACTAACCATGGCTACTCAGGAAACTCATTGAAAGTAACTTCAATGACTAGTTTAGAGCTTTTCTCAACTGGATTTTCTTCAGAACGAGAAGTTTCAACAGGCTCAACCTTAAGAGCATGGCATCATGTTATGTGGGTGTGGTCTGACCACACCTACTTTTTGACCACTCCCACTTCTTAGCCACATTTATGCCCTACTTGCAGTATAATCCTGCAGCCGCCTGTAAAATGCTTTTTGCTTTCTTTAGCATCCAACCAAACTAGACTCAAGATTCTATTGTAACTAGAGGACATTTGGCCTCACGTTTGTGTGTTTTTAGTTGATAGGACTAAGACTACCTCATCCTGACATCAACCAAAGGCTCAGGTCTGCTAACTATGACAGATCAATGATGAAAACCTTGTTTATATATTATACTCAACTCATTCATATTGATATAAAAAATAATAATTCAAAATAATATCAATGAAGCAAGCCTTAAACCACAAAAAACTCCATTAGAAGAGACATAGGACTCACCATTCTGACCGTATCTTTGACAATAGCGACAACCCAGAGAGATTACTCCAATTAGTCGGATAGTCCATGAAATTAAGAACAACAGATAAGCAGTAAGGGTAATCTACATCATCTAACAAAAAGTGACAATAATAACAACAACAACAACAACAACAACAATAATACAATAATAATAAATAGTATGTCATAAAATAATGAAGTTAGGAATAGAATAACGAATAATAATAACAATAACAATACTACCTTCAAGGAGTAATGAATTGACAAGTGCCACAGCTTCCCTAGATGACGGCTCCAATAAGACAAGGTCTTTCCTAACTTGAGTGATCCTCTCATTATTAGAAGAGTCACTGGTCAGGATTTCAATTAATAACCTAAAATAAACAACAGCTAACACTTCATTAAAAAAACAAAATTTTTTGGCAAATCGTCAAAAATTTAAATACATGTACATGTACACATATTGATAATATAAGTCATTGACTTAACATTATTGAACTAGAGAACTGTATAAAATGAAGTGCTTCACCCCTTACCATGTCATGATGCACGTGTACACGAAAACAGATTAAGGGCTTTACCCAATTTTAATTTGACTTTCTGATACATACATATTATTGATGTCCCTATGGTGTGTGGAAAGTTTGAGCAAAACTACATGTATACAAGTGCCATCACTTTACAGGCTACGCAAATTGCAACATAACATGCAACCATTACATGTAACCATTTTGACATGTACAGACCAAATAATAATCATAAAAACAGGGTAGTACCTGTAAGTTGTCAATTCTTGTGGTCTTGTTAATTTATATTCTTCTAGTAAAGACACAGCCTGATCAGTTCGACCCAGTCTAACAAGAGACTAGAGAGAGACAAAAGAGCATATTATTATAAAGAGGAAGGTTACATTCAGTGCTTCCCACAAAACATGCTAATCACTACAATATAATGTTATGTGAAATATGGCATCTGGAGGAAGTTCTAAAATTACAATTTCAATTGGAATCCGCTTAAACTTTCTGCACAACATAAGCACATGTATATGTATCAGAAAAAATATTATTAACAAAGTATTCTCTCCCCTTCATTTTCTGGTAGAATACAGGAACTTTCGCTCAATTTTGGAGTAGCTCCAAAAATTCATAAAAATCCAATTTTGATCATAAGCTGCTTAAACTTTCTGCACAACTTAAGTACATGTACATGCATCAGAAAAATTATAATAATGAAAAATTCTCTCCTAGCCATTTCAAAAGAAATTTAGATAAAGACCCATTTATGCGATATATAGTAGTCCTAATTTTTTAATGTAATAATCCACTAACAAGAAGCTATATGACTGAGCACTATGCCAATATCTTGTGGGAAACCCTGCTTAACTACATTATCTACAAGAGTAATTACAAGAGTATTATTTTACCTTAACATAGTAAGTCATAAAGAAGCTGTATTCCCCTTCTCCTCCATCGACTATATTTAAATTGGTCCTCATTACATCAAAATACTTGAGCAAGCCATCACAAAGCTTACCAGATCCTTTCTGTAAAAAAAAAAAGATAAATAAATTAACAAAAAACTAGAAACATGTGACATACATAGTAGTGCCAAGAAGCAGAGTATACAATGTAATATAACGCTACAATTCAGTAGTACTATTACAATATAGGATTACATGTACATCATAAAGCAACTGCTGACCTACCAGTCTTACTGAGGCCTTAAACCAGCCTTAATAAAGAACTACAAGAGAATGCTATTCAAGCTTATTCTTAGCACCACTCTCTGCTACTATTAACAATCCACAGTTTTTGCCTTCATATCTATTGTAGAATTAGACTGTGCACTGTACACTGGGCAAGCTCAAAGTGATAGATTGATAGTACAGGTGTGAGATATTTCATTAAAGATGCATTAGGTCTCATTAGCAATAAAAGCAACAGCATACCAGACTAATGGAAATGGGCAGGCTTGGCAATCAAAACCAAAACCACAGGGAAACACCCAACAAAAAATATAATTTTATGACAATGAAAGCTGAACAACCTTGATGAATCCTTCTTCCTTCCATAACATGTAAGCAATGACACCTCCATAACCTTGAAATAAAGGACTGGGACTAAACTGATCCATTGAAGCATTGCTGTAATGAAAATAACAATGAATACTCCTAATAATCATTGTTATTATACTGTACCTCAATATAACTTCAAAAGCTTCTTTAGTCATACCTTTAAGAATTAGTATATAAATAAGCTCAAGCCCATTCTGAATTTTCTGTTAAAGGACATACTATAATAAAGATAACAGGTAGTAATTATCACAAATAAAGCAATGACCATTTCTTAAAATACATCCATCATTAAAATACAACCACTTACAAACTGAGGCATTGCTATGAACTGCTGCTTGAGGAACTTTAATAAATCGAGAAACACCTCATCATTACAACTATACTCATGAAGCATCAGCTCACGTGTGACCTAAAAGAATAAAACCACATGTACATGTACATAACTACAATAACACCGCATGTACATGTACATAACTATGTATACATGCATGTATTGACTTATCAAACTGTACATACCATATTTTTTCGCACTCAAATTCTATCTGCCCTTGAATTCCGCATCATCAAGAAGACTGAATAAAATGATATGTGCCCCTGAATTATTACCACATATTGCGCATGCGCAGTAGTATTAATACATAATGATAGCTATAAAGGAAGCTCAATAAGCTAATGCAGCTGCTAAGATAAGGAGCTGAAGTCATTAGTCTTCACCTTTGAATACAATTCATCCCTGTATTGTACCCGCAGTACTCTGGCTTCTGAAATTTATAGTACTGATAAATAAAATTTAAGGAAATACGGTATGCATTAAATTTACAGTATGCATTAAAATTACGAAATGTATAGTATTTTTACCTTTACAGCTAGTTCCTGTACTATTAAAGTCCTGGCAGTCAAAAGTTCCATGATATCTGACACTGTATCCATATCGTGATGGAGGAGACTCTTCCTTAATAAACGAACAACTTTAGCAACTTCAGTAGCATGCACTGTCCCATGGCCAAGAGAATCATCACTTCCTATCATTGATCACAGTCACAATCAATTCATAATGCTCAATTCATTAGTTCAAATGCAGCAGTATAGCTGCGAGGAGAATTTGAGGCAAATTTTGTATTTTGAGAGCCATTTGCCAAATTAAAACCCATGTTAATGGCACCTGGCCAAAAATCCACTTAATTAAAATTCACTGATGATCTAAAATCTAGAAAGTTGCTAAAATCAACCCCTCCAATACAACATAATTACATGAATATGTTCACTGAGTAGCGTGGCTAATCAGCTCCAAAAATTACCTTCAACGTAGCTGACAAATTTTACCATAGCACCGGCCAACATTCCTAAAAATACCTCAAATTAGATCCTCTCAGTCTCTATACTATAGAATAGACTGTGCGATTGTTATTGCTAGGAAAAAAGATGTCTCTTACCTTCTTGGTTCACCTTTCCTTAAACCATGTGCCCGCTCACGCGCGCACGTGTTAAAGGTAGGCGTGATTTGATTGAAGGTGTGGCTACTTTGGGAGGAGCGAAAAGAGGATCTAGCTCGATCAACAAGCAAGAGGACTTTGCTGCAGCAAAACTTGTGTTATCCTGTCTAAATTTGATTGAATAATGTCATCCAAGTGTCCAGCCTGTTCTAAAACTGTTTATTTTGGTGAGACCCTTGTATTTGCATTGGTTTATTATTAATTCTGTTAGCCTTTTGAACCCGAGTTTAAACCCCATTGTCTTGTCAATAGGCGAATGCATGCTAGGCAGCATTGCTGTAGCCTCAAAAGTGTACCGCCAGCAGCAGCTATTAAAATATGATACACATGCAGTAGCCATTGTAATATTATATTGCAGTGATACTGGCGTGAGAATTTGATTTATATTTGAATGTGGAGGTGATAGAATGACTCACCATTATTATAGAAAGATCTGAAGCAACATATCATCTCATGTACAATTCATGTCATTAGTCTTGTCCATCTAAACCAACACTCTCTTGTTATTGAAAAGTATAATAATAGAATAAACATACAATGTGCAGTACTTTTTCTCAGCCACTAATCTCCTGCACAGAGGATACCATCAACTGACTGCTCCTATCTTTTTTATGTATAGCTGAACGTGTTAGTAGCTTGGGCAAAGACTGGCACCGTCCTTGTTTGAAATGTGTGAAGTGTAAGAAGACCCTCAACCCTGGTGGGCATGCTGAGGTATATGTCACATCCCCTCTCCTCCCTCTTTCATTCTAACTCTCTACCTTAGCATGAAGGCAAGCCATATTGTAACCAGCCATGTTACAGTGCATTGTTTGGTCCTGGTGGATTTGGTAGAGGTGGAACAGAGTCACACAAGTACTGATAAGGTATGTGGCTTCTTAAAACAACACTGCATTGTGCTGATTATGGCAATGTACATGTACATGTACCATACTTCATTCTATAGTCAGACAGACTGGAGCTCATTGTGCTTTTATTTGACTAAAAAATTATTAAGTCTAAGCAATTCACCTGAATCCCTCTGTCATCATTTCTTGTTCCTTTCCTCTGAAACTAGACACTTATTAAATCATAGGGAGTGGTTAGGTATTTATACAAACAGAATGTTATTTCTACCAGCCATAAAGTAATTTGTGCAGGTTGTGCTTCATGAATGAGCAAGTGATAACAAATTGTTCCTTTTGCACTACACAATACCTGTAAGCATAATGCTTCAGGTATGAATACCTTTCAATGGTACTACACTACATTACTTATTAGTATTGAGTTCTCAATAATTATCTCATGGTTGTGCAGTTACACTTGGCATCTTGTTTATTACATTTTTCTCTTATCTCTCTAGCTAAATACTTTTAGGCTATCATTTTATCGAAAAAGAAAAAAGAAACAAACAAAACTTCAATTTACCTTCAATTATAATAAACATAAGAGATTTTTTGTCTATTACATTAATAATTGTCTCTTAGCAAATGAAACTATACCCACCCAACCATTACTAGTCTCTTATCATTCCTCAGGGTGCAGCACCCCCTTCTTGAGTATCACATTACCATACAGTGCTTCTTCTCCTGTTGCAACAACAGCAAAGGCTGTCTTTGCTCTCTCGTAGAATGCAAAACGTTCTATCATTTCAAATCCAATGTCTTTTCCTTCAGCCTGTGAAATTTAATAAAATTCCGTTAATTTGTATGTATACATACAATGTATCAACATAAACGTTAAGTAAACATTACATGCTAAATTGTACAGTTAATTACATTTGACGCCATGCAAAAATATAAATATTTTATGTAGATTATGTCCTATATAGCTAACTTGTTGAAGGATACTTTTATATTGCTCCCATATTGGTGTCTTTAGTCCTGCCTTCTTGTCATTATGTACCAATTCCATCAGCATTGCTATTACCATGTGAGAGCAATAATATAACTTCACTTCTCTACAGTTCTTACCTGGTCGAGGTACATATGTATCCAGTGGCAGTAGTGATGTTATTGCTTTTAATAATGGTGGTATTGCGTGACCATCAGCTCTTATTAACTCTGGGCCATGCCTGAATCAAGACAAAAATTTAAGTGGGTGGATGTAAAACTGTAATAGATAGATAGATCTATACTTTTACCTGCAGATTGATGCTGAAGGAAAGTTTGCATCTGCTAGCACAATCTCATCTCCGTGCCCCATACGAGCCAAGACTGACAGCAGAGAAGGATTGATTATCCTTGGGATCCCTTTTAAAATCACCATTTTTAGTTTTTACAATTTCAACAAGCTTGCCACACCCTTTTTCAGCAACCAGAGAGCTAATTAAAAAAGTAATTAGTCCAATTACCATAGGCTTTCCTAATAGTCTAAGCTGAAATAAAATCAAATTCAATAATAATAATAACAGTAATAATTATATCAATTTAAAACTCAGTGATATGTAATGACGTGAGGCATTTTAACAATACATATAAGATTGAGGCCAGTCTCCCCATAAGAGTAGCATCCATCCTCATTCTCAGCAAAGAACTTTCCCCCCGGGACTAGTTTGAATGGATATGGAGGCTCTGGATGATTAGTGATCGATGCAATAGCAAACCCAAGATACCCAGTATTGTGATGAGGCTGCAGTGCAACACAGTGCTGCATCCAAACACCAACAGGCTTCAGGAGAGGCTTGGTAATACCGATAGAGTATATTGCACTGACAACATTGGCTCCGTCAGGGAACTGATACTTTCCTGCAACAAAGACAGCCGTTGCAACCTCACAGGAGTCTCCTGGAGAAAGAGAGCCTGATGGTAGCGTGAGTTTAAGACCCATGTCCTTCCAATCAAGGATTTGTGTATGATCACCACTGACTGCAAAGAGTTTCTTTCCAGCCAAGTAATGCCCTTTGACTTGATCTAAAGGAAAAGATATGAAAATTATTATTGCACACATGGTTATACAGTAGCTCCCATCCTAAGAAATGATGGATCATACTGATAGGAGACCTGAGACCACTTTTAAATAGACCTAAACTTCTATTTTGTATTATTGTCCCTCTGATAAAAAATCATCCTACTAAATTTTGCCAAATATGAAAAGGAGAAGAGTCTCATTTTTATAATTTTTCCTGATACATATACATGTACTTATACTATTCATGAAATTTGAGCTGATTCTGATAAAATTTGATTTTTTTAATGAATTTTTAAAGTTGCTCCAAACTCGGGCCAAAGTCCCTATAGTACAGGGTTCTTGGTCAAATTTCGCCAAAAATGAAAACGAGAGAATTCTCCATTTTTATAACTTTTTCTGATACATATACATGTACTTATGTTGTGTATCAAATTTGAGCTGATTCCGATCACAATCAAATTTTTCACAAATTTTTAAAGTTGCTCCAAAATCTGGCCAAAGTCCCTGTACTATAGTATAGGGTTCTTGGTCAAATTTTGCCAAAAATGAAAACAAGAGAATTCTCCATTTTAATAACTTTTTCTGATGCATATACATGTACTTATGTTGTGTAGAAATTTTGAGCTGATTCCGATCACAATTGAATTTTTCATGAATTTTTAAAGTTGCTCCAAAATCGGGCCAAAGTCCCTGTACTATAGTACAGGGTTCTTGGTCAAATTTCGCCAAAAATGAAAACGAGAGAATTCTCCATTTTAATAACTTTTTCTGATACATATACATGTACTTATGTTGTGTAGAAACTTTGAGCTGATTCCGATCACAATTGAATTTTTCATGAATTTTTAAAGTTGCTCCAAAATCGGGCCAAAGTCCCTGTACTATAGTACAGGGTTCTTGGTTAAATTTCGCCAAAAATGAAAACGAGAGAATTCTCCATTTTTATAACTTTTTCTGATACATATACATGTACTTATGTTGTGTAGAAATTTTGAGCTGATTCCGATCACAATTGAATTTTTCATGAGTTTTTAAAGTTGCTCCAAAATCGGGCCAAAGTCCCTGTACTATAGTACAGGGTTCTTGGTCAAATTTTGCCAAAAATGAAAAGGAGAAAACTCTCCATTTAAATAATTTCTCCTGATACATATACTTATACTGTGCATGAAGTGAGCTGATTCCAATAAAATTAGATTTTTTAAATGAATTTTTAAAGTTGCTCAAAAATCATATCAAAGTCCCTGTACTTTAGTACAGGGTTCTTTGACCAAATTTCGCAAAAAAAAAAATTAATAGGAGAAAATTCTCCATTTAAATAATTTCTTCATATACATGTACTTATGTTATGCATGAAGTTTGAACTGACTCCAATCAATTTTGAATTTTTTTAAGTTGCTCAAAAAATTGAACCTAACGCCCTGTACTTTAGTACAGGGACTTTGGCCAAATTTTGTCAAAAATGAAGACAAGAAATTTCTTCATTTTTATAAGTTTTTCTGACACATACACATGTACTTATGTTGTGTAGAACGTTTGGCCTGATTGTGATCAAATTTGGATTTTTTATGAATTTCTAAAGTATTTCGAAAGCTGTTTGTCAGCTCATGAAGTGTTCTATTTAACTCATTTAGCAAGCTTTGTGGGAAACTAACCCTGGTGGGTGGGAAGTGTAATAATTTTCATAAAGTATTATTCATTATTACTGTATATAAATTGTAATTAATGCAAAACCACAATAATTAATAGTGACATGGCACCATGCGTGGGAATTAAGGCTATGAAACATGCATGTTACATGTACTGTAGCACTCCTAATACCCAAACCCAAACAAACTAGGAATTTGGAAAACCACAGTCATCCTTGTTATTAAACAAAGCTGGCATATCTATAACAGTATGATACGATATGTCTTCATTAGGTTTGGCTGTAAAGGTGTGGTACATGTCTACCTACTAATAATACCATGCTGCATACCAAATTAGTCAGTGTTGCAAATAAAAAACAAACCTAAACAATCCTGAAGAAAGCTTTTGGGAGGTTCCTCTATAATAAAATAATGACAAAAAATTACGTAAAATAAAGACAATATAATGTTGATAGTCCTCACTCTCTTGAGCTTCTTCTTTTTCGTCTTGACCTTCAGCATCTTTTAGAGGCTCGTCAGCCATTTTTAATAAAAAGGTGTGGCCAAGCCTATTAGATTATATTAATGTTAGATGGAGTATGGTGCTGAGAACAAGGAAGCTGGTCTTTTTCTTGCTGGTAATGGCGTTTCTGTACATGCTATGGTCTTTTAAAGTCGTTTTATATGAGGAACCCACTTCTGTTCAACCCTGTGAGCAATCAAATACATAAAAATTAGATATTTATACATGTATAGATGATAGTTTCATTATACAAACTTCCTATTTGTGAGGTGCACTTTTCTCTTTCTTCCTCACAGCAAACCTCAAGCGTATTTTACATACTCCAGCTACTGCTGATTCACCTGATAGCATTGCTGTATCAGAAGAGGCTTATAGTTTAACTACTGAAGCCAGTTCGGCTGTCTCCAGACATACTCATGATACTCCTCACTCCAGCTCCATCTCTGAACTGCCAGAGATTTTTAGAAGAGGCCTGGTAAGAAAAACAAGAGAGGGAGGCCGTGGAGTGATATGGGAAGGGAATTTGGGCTATAATTAGCTATTGTATACTACTTTAGTGGCAGAGAGTGCAAGTTGCTGCTTTTTGTCAGAGACACGGCTTCTCTGGTCTTAACCACACTTTACCTGATGCTAACTATTCATTCCGAAGCGAAGTATTTCGTCACATGATCTACGATAATAAAAGCCAAAGTCTGTTCTGTTTCATGCCCAAGGTATTAACTTATTAAAATTATATGCATCATGTTGACTGTAATTGTTTACCTCAACACTTTTGTTTTGTCAATTGTGTTGCTTTGATAGCCATCAGTATCAGTTTCTGTAATATCATGCACAAAATTCTTCCTTATTTTTGGGGCAATAACATAGCAGTTTTCTTTTCTAAATTAACATTGTTTTGACTTTATATAGTAAGTAGTAGCAAGAGTAGTAGTACTCTAAAGACATAACTACCATATTTTTACTCTATTATTATTATTATTATTATTATATTATTATTATTAATCTCAATACTCATTGATAGGTTGGCTGCACAAACATGAGATCAACATTGCTCCTTTCGCATAACCTCATACCTGCTTTCCTTCCAAGAATGAACAGGAAGAAGTATCTCGTGGAAAAGAAACTTGAGAGAGCAATGAAAACGATTGCATTCACAAATGACAGACTAACTGATGAGGAGAGACTCAGAATAATTCGTACATACAAAAGATTCACAATATTGAGGCATCCATTGGAACGACTTCTATCAGCTTATATTGACAAGATAAGGGACCCAAAGACTAGTGATGGGTCTCCTTTGTCTTATTTTGATCGCTTGAAGGATGCCATTTTGAGTGCTACTGGTGTGCATGGTAATGCCAATGTCTCATTCAATGCATTCCTTCAATGGCTAGTGTCTCAGGACTATACTGCACTTAATGAGCACTTTATGCCTCAATATTATAACTGTGAGCCATGTAGAATGGACTATCATTTTTATGGAAACTTTGAGAACTTTAGTGAAGATGCTAATAGTATACTAGAGGAGTTTAAGCCTGGCTTGAGGCTTGCTATAAGTGATAGCTATCACAAGCAGACATCAACAACATCCTTACTGATGAGCTCATACTATGCCGGAGTACCACCGTGGCTTAAGAAAGCATTGCACGAGAATTTATCTCTCGAGTTAGAATTTTATCATTGTTTGTTTCCTCAGCATGAACACTTGACAAAGGAATTACTTTCTTAATTTTTTTATATTAACTTTATAAATTATTTCTAATTAATCGAATATCGATGAATATTTTGATTTAATCAAAATTAATGCTTTTTATAGTTTTATTCATTGCGCGCGTCATTATTGGAGAGGAGGGCCTGGGCGACTGTCCAAACACTGACTCGCAGTGAATGGATGGAACTTCAACTACATCTTGTACCATTCGTGTATCTCAGGAACAACAGGTAAATAATTGTACCCTAAACCTTTTGCTGCATAAATTTAATCATAACTGAAATTGACTAAAGTTTTGTCATGCCTGCAGAAAGAAGCTGTTGGTAGTCCTGCTGTTGATAGTATCACTGGCTATCATTCGTGTCAGTATCAGAGCACAAGTTCAAGATGACAGTAGTGTAATACGCACAGTTCAAAGATCTAAAATGGACCCGCCTAGTAGAACAAGAGGTAGATCTATTCTGTCAGTATTTTGTGTTATGAATATGTAGGCTACTGCACACTGAGATTGCCATTTGAATTGTGGGAAATCAATGTTGCATGTCTTGTATTATACGTGTATATCTTGTTACTGTACAGAGTATCAGAACCTTTCTTTCCCCAGCTTACTTGCATCGTTCCAATCTTGTAAATGACAGTGATCCGGTTATAAGCTCACCTCAAAACAAGAATCAAGTGGAGAGAGAAAGAGTATGTTACAATAACACAAGAATGGTTGAGTAGATTTCCTGCCATTTTTAGTTTCAAAGGAAACAGATACACAGCTTTTGCACACACCACAAACGCCGTAGGAGATACTTTTCATTCCCATCTGAGAGCGATCAAAGAAAAAGACTATTCAGTCGTCTTCTGTTTGATGACAAACATCACGCTATACTCTGCTTTGTGGAACAGACTGGATGCACTGACTTGATAGGTACTATCATAAGGAGTTGGACTGGTAGCAGTTCATCAAGTGATGAATATACTATCAAAGGAGACAGCTTTGCTGACAAGAATTTGACAGATACTGCAAGAAGAAAGAAAGTGCGCTCAAACTATAAAATAATGGTGGTTAGGAACCCATTGGAGAGACTGGTTCTGAGCTATAAGAATTTAATAGAGCCTCCATTGACGAGTTTACACTTTGTCTTTCCTAACGACATCAAATTAGAGATACTAATGCGCTATAGGTCAAGGGAATACAGGGAATGGAAAACAGAGGGAATGAAGTACCCACTGAATGTGACATTCATGGAATTTGTGCTATACTATGTCAATGAAGAAAGCGAAGACCTTGACCCACACTTTCAAACAATGACAGACCTGTGTCATCCCTGTCGCATACACTATGACTTTTATCCAAATACCAAAACTTGCAGTGAAGACATCAATGCAATCACTAGTAAACTCTCAATAAACTCAACATCAACCAATCACCATGATCAGTATCAAGAGAAGCTCCTACTTACTGAGTATTATTCTCAGCTCCCTAAGAGGCTAAAGAAGAAATTA